AGTTCTGGGATTAAAGGCATGCACCACCACCACCCGGCTGGTTTTGATGTATTTTTATCATAGCAACAGAAATTAAACGAGAAAAGGATAGATGAGGAAACAAAAATCTACACCAGTTTTCCTGGAGCCCAGTTAGAAATTGTAGAATGACTGTCATGTTCCTAAATGAATGAGTATTATTTTTCCTTTAACTAAAAATCCATCCTATAGCAAGACAACTTGAGGAAAGGTTAAGCAAATGTTTTATAGGAAACACAAGAAAAAGACAACAACTCATTAATTGTGACTGGTCCAGAGGCATCTACACTGGGAGCCAGAGAAGTAGCAATAGATTCCTAAATCAGAGAGAACACTAAGAGCTAGCTCAGTGACATAAAGCCAGCATGGAGGATATCAGAGTTAGTGTAAGACCTGACAAGATCCTAATTGAGATTGTGTGTTCATTGGCAAGAGAGAAATGCAAGTACAGAGAATGGGTCTAAAAAGAGACTTTGGGGATTTGGAATTACTTGGTAAGTGTAGTAGGCTTATTTCTTTCTGTTAACGTATTGAAAGAAATACATCAGAAAGTCAACAGAACTTATGTAATGTGTAGCAAAACCAGGTAAGCGTGGAAGATATTTGCTAATGCATATTTTCATTTAAACTTTCTAGAGACCATGTAATATTATTATCATGTTGCAGAACAGAAAATGGTCCTTGGGGGAATTTAACTATATTGATCAAGTATTTGTTTTGACTTTAAATGTAATTTTTAACACAGATGCATACTTTCCTACTGTTCTGATTTCTAACCAAATTTATTTAATTAATTTGTAATCTCTTTGATAACAATGAGCTGCATTACGTATTTCATGAAAGTCCATGACAAAAGATATGTTGTTTACATTTCTTGCTTTATTAATTTTATGAAAACATTTCTACTAAAGATTTAAATGCAGTAAGTGCACTTCTATGCATAGTATAGAAGAGAAGGAAAGGGAATCAAACACTGCAACCCCACAGTAATTGGCAAATTTTAGTGTGTCTGATTGGCTCTTCAGCTTGCTTTTTGAATCTCTTATGTTTTCTGGCAAGATCAGGCATGTTCATTCACTGTGGTATTGCCATAAACTCTGCAATACTTTCTTCATGGGGATTGCTGGGAAGGAGTCCTTGATGTAACAGTCTGTATTATGTAAAATGAATGGAAATTTGCACAATCTTAGCAGGTGAGTGTCAAGCAGAATGGGTCCTTAAGTCACAATACTTGACCTCAAATCCTATTTCTATTATCTGACTGAACTGTAGGCTACTGTGGTACTTTCCTCAACTGTTCTCCTCCATCTCTCCACCAGAAACTGTCTTTATCCACTCAGTAGGATGAGGTTAGCTGTGATGTTATTTGACTGATTATTTTGTAAGTAGGATGATATTATTGTTGTTGTTGTTGTCTGAAGTAAAGTTTTAGGAATGACTCCATATCTAGGGTTTTTCATTTTTGCATGAGAAGAGCACCAAGCCCTTAATGTAGGCTTCTCTTCTTTGAGTGGAGCACCATGGACTACAGTAAGAGGTAGGCTCTTAAGGACATTTAGCATGAGAGATGAATATGTGTGATTGAAAGCCATTAAAAATTTTTGATAACTTGTTTTATTAGCTGATTAGTATACCAGTTTTGGTTTGGAAAGCTATTTCTATGATACAGATTTCTCCTATGGTATGATTGAGTGATTGTAATGATAAACTAGGCTAATGAGCAGGCAGTATTGAGGGCAGTGCTCTATTGATGTACGTTTGTCTAAAGAAAGAAGTCCACATTTGTTGGATTTGCCGGAGTATGGGGTAGAAATTTTCCTTTAAATTGATCCCAAACTACTGGGAATGTTGTCACTCATGGGGAATTAGGAGGTCACATAGTGTATTGAGCAGGATCTGGCTCCAACATACTGTTGAATTCAGAATAGAGCACAGAATAAGCACTACATTAGTTCCTAAAAAGTACACCATAAAAATGTGTATTTGCTGAGAACAAGTGAATGCAAAGAAATATATTCTTAAAGTTTCTTTATATTTTGGGGTCTGAAGAGATGGTTCAGAGATTTTGAGCATTGATCTTCTGGAGGCACAGAAGTCAATTCCTACCACCCATAAAGCCACTTACAACTCCCTATAATACCCATTCCCATTCCTCTTCTATACTCCTTAGGTTATTAGGTATAGCACACCAACAAACATCTATGCACATAAAATGAAATAGCTATGAAAATCAGCAATGACCAGAAAGGAAAGTAACTGTAATTAATGACTCATAATTTATCCCATCTCTCATTAGAAACAATAATAATAAAACATTAAATGTATTTGACCCTGCTCACATCTATTGAATATTATTTTTATGAATAGGAATTAACATGAGGGAAATGTTAGGTAACATATTTACTAAAATGTATTTGTAATCTACTTTCTGTGAAAGCAGTAGTTATCTGGAAGAAGTGTAAATGTTACTAATCATTGAAATGTTCAAATAAGGGTAGTAGCTATTTTGATATTATAATGAACACATCACATCCTGCCATTCCTTAGAAATATTTCCTCCTAAAATATTGCATACACCCTTATGCAGAATATTTCCAAATTAGTACTTTTCAGACCAAAATATATATAGTGTGTACATATCTTAAGGTGACAGTGCCTCAGTTTTGTAGCCATAGTGGCTAATGACTCTAACTGTGCAGTGCACTGTCATGGACACAAGCCCCCACATTCTCTAAACCCTTCAATTTACTCTAGAACTATTATTAAGAGACAGGAACTAAGGGAAAGCATTCATCAAGTGTCTCTAAACATATCACAAATAAACAGAAATGCATATGTGTTTATTGAGAGAAGTATGTAGAAAAATGAATTGTTATTGATGAAAGTGTAAAAGATCGGAGAAGTGAGATACACATTTTTTTACTTTGTATTTTATCATTTGGCCTATCAATATGAACCAGCATACACTATAAAATGGGAAATAACTTGAGTGTAACAGCTCTTAATGCTGCCCTAGAATAGGAGGTCAGTCTTAACTTGGCAAATTCATCAGGGAAAGACTGTGTTAGATATTATTGGATCATCACAATATAGAGCAGACAATACATTTGGGGTGTTTAAAATCCAGATTATAGGCTAATGAAGAAGGGGGATATGTTGTACAACATTTTTAGAATCTATTGTCCCTTGGAAAATACACCCGCAATTACAGATACTCTGTAGGTGAGAGCATTAGCATACTCACATAGTTTATGGCAACAAAGGGGAGAAGGCTAAAGTACATACCTCTTCTGCTAACACAGCCTTAAGACTATGCAAAACAACTCATGCCAGTGATTTCCTAAAATATGCCTTAGTATATTTAAGAGTGACAATGCCACACTTTTCAGCAGCCCCACTCCTCATGCGTATGAATAAAAAAGCCTAAGTAAGCCATGGCTGCCCTCTTCAGTTAGAACCAGGTTTAACTCCTGGTAAACCCCTGGGGATTTTTGTTCATACTGGATTCCATACAGAGTTTGAAAACATTCTGGATTTTTTTTTTAGGCAGAACTCAGGTTCCCCTTACTGGAGTTGGGGAGTGATAACAAATGTGTCTTTCTTGACAACTTCCTTGCCTAAGGAATGAGAATGTAATGTCAGGTGGGAAAAATAGGATTTTTTTGCTAATATCCAAAGAATTATATGGGCTTTAATGTACACTAAATTCAGAGAGGAACATGTGTTAGTTTAAACAAGGGGTGGTAAGCAACAGCTTTTAAAATACTGCATTTGGCCTAAGAACTTCTAGTTTTTCTTTTCTTTTGTTCTTGCTGTAACATTGTAAAGCTGCAGAGGTTCCTGAGGTCATGATTGAAGCCGGGTTTTATCTCTTATCAGTTTTCTTTGAGTCTGCCTTTCTTGCCTTTCTGTCTTTATGACAGGACAAAGAGACTGATCCCTATGGCCCAACATAAGGTCTGCAAGACCAGAGCAGAGCGGCTGCCCTGTTCTTAGGCTTAGCCCACTCAAAGATGGCCAGCTGTTCACCTTATGCGCCCCTCCCCCCCATCCCTCTAGGTGCCATGGTGCATAGCAACACAGAGACAAGGTGCCCAGACCTTGCAAGTGACTTAGGGATCACCACACACAGCCCCAGAGCACTCTTACTCCAAACTCTGATGTCTTTTTGCTCTTTCCATCGACCATCTGGGAGGAATGATGCCAGGAACCCAGGTGGCACTCTGACAGTTCTACATTTACTCACTTCCTGCCCCTTACACTTTTTATCACTTTCTAAAAATCGTCACTAAAACTGTTTTGCAGCTGGATAAGCTGCTTGCTAACTCAAAAATCTTTTTGCAGTTTTCACAGACTCAGTTATAAAAACAAAACCATCCCAAACAATAAAGATTATATTGGTCTTCCCATTCATACTTCTAGAACAGCACAGATACTTCTGTGGCTTCTGGGAGCCTCTAAACCGCCGAGGTTGGGGGGAGGGTAGAATGTCCTTCCCTTTTGATTTTGAGACAAATGTTGTCAGATAAGGCTTGGTTCTGAGGTCTCTTTTACAACCCAGTGAGCGAGTGGATTCGCTGACCCAGAAGGCATTAACTAACAAAATCATTTGGAACCTAACCCTACACCATATCTCTTTGCCGGCCACTGTCCCCTCCCCCGTCTCCTACTAGCTCTTCTATGGGGGTGGGGAAGATTGTCCCTCCACTGCTGGGCGCTGTCCTCTTCCGAGGAACTCAGCCTCTGAGATTGTCCACCCTAAAGCAGCAGCAGTAATGGGGACCCGTGTAGTCTCGGGGTCACATCCCACGAGGATGGCCGTCCTGCCTAAGTCAGGGACTTCTTGGTGGCTCCCGGCGTGCCACCAGGCTGAGGAGCAGCGTGCACCGCTCCTACTTTTCCCCGCCCCTCCCTCCCACCTCTCCGGGCCAGCGCTCCCCACGGTGACTCCGGATTGCAGCAGCCAGCCACTGGCTTCTTACCAAATTGAGAACTGCATTGTGGCATTTTGTTTCTTTCTTTCTTCTTTTAAAAATTTCCTTCAGAGGGAATAATCTCAGCCCCCTTCAGCTTGCTTGGCAATCTAGTGTGACTGGGGCGAGTAGGCGGGCACATCCTTTTACATGCTAATATTGCCCCACCTCCTTTGAACCCTCCTCAAAGCGCCTTGCTTTCTTTTATTTTGATTTATTTATTTATATATACATATATTTATTTTACCTCCTTCAATTCCGTATAGTGGGGAACCCTTCTTTGCTCTTTGCCCCTTCCCCCTTACTCCTCGTTCCCCCGGGAAGACAGACCCCGATACGCGCTGTACTTGCGGGTAGCGGTGCTTGCACATAGCCTGGGGATGGCTGCACCAGGCGCGGGGGGCAGCGATCACAGCTGCTGCTCAGTCTAGGCTGTCTAGGCTGTCGCTCTGCTCCGAAGGCTGGGTGAACACCGAGTTCGGGTCCCCCAGCGAGCTGCCACTGCCGCAGCCGAAAGGAATGTCCCCTGTTCTTAAGGACCCTGACTGTTTTACACCAATGATTTGCCACTGCAAAGTTGCTTGCACCAACAACACTTTGTCGTTGATGTTTGGATGCAAGGTAGGATGAGCGGTTTGTGTCTTCTTTCAATGCATGCTGGCCTCCCTGGGGAGAGCAAACCATTTCTTTTGTTTGTTTATGTGTCTGCCTGTTGGGTGACGGACCGAACTGTTCTGTCCACTCTCAGAGCCGGCTGGGGATTGGAGCCAGGAGAGCCCAATGATTTTTCGTGTTGGCATGATAGCTAGGTGGTGACAGGACCCTGCATGGAGCACACAGAAGCTGCAAGTGCTCTTGAAAAGAGGGCGTCTTAGATGCCTCGGTGCTTGGGATTTCTTCCTGCTTTTAGCTAGTGACTAGCTCCTGGGCGCTGGTCTGGATGCTACTGAAAGCCTTAAACTGACCCCCATTCCCTGGAGCAGGGCCACGGGCTAGAGTAGCTGGGACTCTAGAAGTTCTCCAGATAAAACAGAGCCTCTTGGTTTGCAGTGAGTGTTTCCAAAGGCGAAGGGCTTTTGGCTATTTTATACAGAAATTCTAGAGATATATATGTTCATGCAGTCCTCAATGGCAAGATTGTCTTTGCTTTTATACAATCCCTTTGAAATCAGTGAGCCAAATGCTTAAGAAAGGATGACACTTGGTGAAGTTTGCAGCAAATAACCACCCTATCCCAGAGTTTTGCAAGGATGCTGAGTGTCAGAAGGAAATAAGGGTTTCTAGGTTTTGAAGCAGGTTACTGCCCAGGACTCCTTTCTTGCTGGCTGTTGTGGACACTACCTGAACTCGCTGTTTGCAAAGTTGTTGCCCCTGAGAGGTACTCAATACCTGTTCTTTGCTCTCCAGGGCCATGAGCTTTTTACTCACAGCGACAACTTGGTGCGTTTATTCAGTTTTTTTCTAGAAATCACTTCTTGTGGTTGCTATGAAGATTATCTAAAGGAATGTGGGTGTGAGAATGGGGGGGTGTTACTTTATCCGAAGTAAGTGAAAGTGCACACTTGTAAGTGAATGCAAAACACCACGTGATTTCCACTGTTCTGAAAGACATCAACAGAGACCAAATGGGACAGTTGCTAAATGCAGTAAAGTTAGTGAAACATACACATCCCACTGCATGCATAATGATCACAGGAGGCAGGTATAAAATAAAAATTAAGAGTTAACTGCTTTGCACTGGGTGGCTAGAAACTCTAGCCTTTTCTTGGAACTTCAAGTTTTTCTTCCTTTCTTTTTGAGTGAAATGGAAAATGTGGGTGAGGGGGGTACTCTGAGACCTCCAAACTCCCAGTGTTCTCAGATATTATCCTGTAAGAAAGTCTTTAAGAGTGAAGTGAATGCCAATTATTATTGTGTTTTTTTGGCGTATATAACAAATTAAGGATCAGAATTTAATTGTGATGTGAATCTTTTTAAAAAACTTCAAATAAGTTTTAGGTCCTTGAAGGTTTGTGTGTTTATCTCTGGTAAGATGTGTGAGAGAATAGCACCCTAACTAGTTTGCCCCCCTTCCACACAACTTATCACCACTTTGTGTGTTCCTCTCCCATCTCTCTGCTAACTGTACATATACCAACATCTTAGCATTGGGTACTGTTTAAAATCTATTATTACAAACTTATGAGACTTGATCTGCAGTGCTAAATGCTTATTAACAAAGAAATAGGAAATTCTTGTTGAGGGAAAATAAGCACAAGCTAAAATATCAAATATGATAAACTATTGGTATGAGGACTGTTAACTATACACCCTAGTAGCCTAGCTCATGTTTAAAGAAACTTCTTTTATGCTGTTATATTTTCCCTAATTTTCAAGCCATATTGGAAGAAATTCATTTAATTATGATTACCCCTTTAAAGAGGATGGACAATTGCATTAATTTAACTTCTTTTTGCTCCTGTTTCTTTTGGTGTTCTTGTTTAACAAGTTCACTTTGACTCTATTCATGTTTAATAGAGTAAAACATCCAAATCAAGTTGACTTTGTCCTTTGAAAATAAATTAACTCTATGAAAACAAACTACAGTTTGAGAGAGTCTATCCTATTCTATATTGCCAGTTATTTGAATATGATACTGCTCAATAGTCCTATATATTATAATAATGTAGTCAAACTATACTTCTAAGCTAATTAATTATGTACTGGCAAATGTATGACTTCCATCTTGGAGTCTTAAATACAGAAAGATCATTAGTACTTTATACGCTTGCCTTTCACAGTGAAGTTCTTCAACATTATCTAACAGATAATGATACAATGCAATGTGAAAAGCAAACAATGGGGGTTCACATGTAGATTTCACTTGTAATATGTATATGATTTCTCAACTCAGTTTTCTCAGATAAAATGACCCAAGTGACAAGTACAGGTTTACATATTCCAGTATTATTAATGCAGAAGAAAACTAAGTAAGGTGCACTTGGTACTTAATGTGCATGTATTCATCATGGGACTGGTGCTTTCCCATGGCTGTAGCTCTTTTACCAGCTTCCCAAAGAGCAATGCTCACACCTTCCATGAGGAAACATTTTCACTGTCTAGTTGTTCTTTTCATATCTTTATTAGTTATGAGCTGAAACATTGTTTCCCCCAGTAATACTACTCTAGGCTAATTGTTCATATGTAGGAACACCTTATGTGTTGGTAGAATACTCACAAGATGAAGTGATAAAAATTAATAATATCCTGACATTATTTCATCCAGTTATCAAATACACAGCATGAAAAAACCCCAACTCACATTCTCTCTGGTTTCAAAGATAAATTGTATAGCATATAACTATCTTACTCACAATATTGAATTAAGAAAAATACATAAACACTATTCCAGCTGTATTTTTAAGCAGTGAAAGGGGAATTTAAATATATGCTAATTATGAGTTTCCAGACACTTGTCTTCATCTCCATATTTTCTAGGGTCTGTGAAAATAAGATTAGGATGCATACTTATTTTCTTTCCTGGAAGATACTTAACATGGCAAAGCCTAAAATCCTATTAATTTAAATCAGATTTTTACCTTAAAAATAATATACAAAGTGTTCTTAATATCTTACTGACATGTAATGCTTTGAAGTATGCTGAGTAATTTGATCATCAAAATAGGATCCCCAAAATGTTTTATTTTGTCTGCTCTCTCTAGAGCCCTCCTTTCTGCATACTGGCTATCATTTGGTATTGGTAACTATAACTTATGACTATACTAGGCTCTGTTTTAGGTACTGTGATAGACATTACACATTGAAATACAAGAATGATACCGTAAGAGGAAACCCAAGCCTACTGAAAGAAGTCATTTCAATCCATCTCCTAAATTCCAGAATTTCCACAATAATGTGTCTTTAGCCTCATGAGAGAAACTAGATTACCCTTTGCCTAAGTGTTTTCCATTAGATCAATTTTCTCTTCTAAATCCATTGCTATCATCATACAGCAGTGTTTATGGGAATGGACTTGTATGAAAAAGAAAGATTTCTAGAATGTTCATTTCTCTTGTAAAAGTTCATGTGTTATCATAAAATAGACTTCCACTTTATCCTTCACTTTACTCTGCTTTTCCATCTGCAAAGATGCCAATGATGAATATAATTCTGAGGACCAGCCTGTATAGTTTCCTCTCCTTTATCTTGTCTGCATATGTATTGAAAGAGTGTTAAGCACCCTTGACCCTCTCCTTTCATTCTCTTCTTTTAGTCTAAACAATTTCAAAAGCAAAGTGACATAGTAAACACAGACTATTTTATATCTTTCCTAATATTCTAAGATTATTCTTAAACCAGTTGCTTCCTGTTTACTGCACTTTATGAAGTTAAAAGGTATAATTGAAATATGACTCATTCTAAAAATAGCTGACAAATCTGGATGGACCGCATTGAAAAATTTCCAAAGATGATGTATTGAAATGTCTTCAACATAATTTCCCATTAGGAAAGAGCAGATAAAAGCTACAGTGAAATATTACCTCATAGTAGTTAAGACATTTACTATTAAAAAGACAAGAAATTACAAATGTTGGTGAGAATGTGAAAAAATGGTCCTTCTAGTACACATACATTAAAGGAAGGGATGTTAAATTGTATACACATTTTGTAATACAATATGAAGTTTCTTAATATACTAAAAATAGAACTACAATTTGACATAGCAGTCCCCCTATATCACCAAAGAAAATGAAATCAGAGCATCTTCAAATAGTTCAATTCTCACATTTCCTATGCATTATCCAGAAGATCCAAGATGCAGTAACAAAATAAACCAAGTAAATGGATAATAAATTTGTGATATACATACAAATATGTGTATAAATGATATTTTAAAATTATCATTTGAGTTTTATTATCTTATTTTATGTTTTAAAACTTGATGTACTATGTATCACAGGCTAGACTTGAAGTTGCTATGTAGTAAGGCTGTCTTTGAACTTGAAATCATCTTAATTCTGCTACCTTTGGCACCAAGTTATACCTTTCAGTGTTATGACACACAAATGTACCCACCACTGTAAGATGATAGATATTTTAATAAGTTTATCATAGTAAGTTTGTTTAAC